GTACTTTGGTTCACTGTAATCTTGGTTCTCTCTCATTTCTCATACGCTGATGGTGACATCATCACCAATAAGAAAGAAATTCTGTAATATTGTTTATTGTAATTTTCATTCTCTTTGAATTATTTTCTAAGCACTTTAAATGATTTATCATCACGAATCAGAATAGGTGATAAAAAAAGGTCTAACGTCACTCTGTTCGATGTTGTCTTTGCTTGTTCTTCTTTTTTTCTTAGAAACTGATTGTGACATTGTCACCAATAAGAAAAAAAGGAGCCCAGTATCTAGGTTCGCTGTATTCCCCATTCCTCATTTCTTTCATTGCTTGCTGCAAGCTGCTACTGGCACTTTCTCCACCTTTTAGATGCGAGTAAAATGCTTTCATAAAGACCTTGGTAGCTCTATCATCAATAGCCCAAAGTGAGGCAACAACAGCACGAGCTCCTGCCGCAAGAAAGGCTCGACTCATCCCAACAACGCCCTCTGACTTGATTTCACCACGACCACTGTGACAGCAGCTTAGGACAACAAGTTGTGGTCGAGCACCACTTTCTTGTACATCATTCATAGTTAATAAGTAGCCTTCTTCTTCTGGTATGCTACCATCGGCATTAAGAGGAGCCAGAGCAATTTCTCCTTCTGTTGTACCGTGAGCAGCAAAGTGGACGACACCCACGCCCTCTTGAAGTCTTTGTTTGATTACGTCCTTGGTAGCTTTAGCTCCAATGAATGGCTCAACTCCCAGTAGATTACTAATCTCTTTTGCTTCCTCTTCAGCACCTGGTAGACGTCCGAACTGTGTTTGTCTGCCTCTAAGGATTACTTCTCCAACTTCAGGATTTCCAATAATCAATGCACCTGTCTTTTTGTGGTATTCAGCATGACAATCTTGCAAAGCCTTTAATGTCATGAGTGATGGGACAAGTCGAAAGCGATTGGTTTCGGATAGATATTTTCCAGTGCTTGGGTTTTTCAGGGCTGCATAAGGCACCAAGTTTAGGTCTCCATCAGGTACAATCACGACCTCGTCATGCACAAGATATTGTTGTACGGGAGTGATTAATCTTTCGAATAACGTCTCAAGTACATTTCCTAAATCCTCTTCATGCTTCTCGTGATCTTCTATGCATCTGGTTTCATTCTCTTCTTCAATGAAACTATTCCTTTTATTCGAGAGCAAAGTTGATGCCTTAGCACCATCTGTGTTATCATAGTCAACTTGCATAATTTTGATTGACTCCAAAGATCTGTCTTCGCAGTTTGTTCCTTCTCTCACCAACATCTTGTCGTAAGCTGTATTAATGACATCGGCAATATGTCCTCCTTTGGGTTCTTTCTTTTGTTTTCTACCATCTTTATCCTGGTTTTCCTTTATTTCATTTTCAACAAGAAGCAAAGGATTTTGTTGCGACAAAACCCAGATAGCTATGCTGGTGTTCTGATGTGCATAAAACAGGACGCAAAAGCTAACATGAGTCAACATTGTCTGCAAATCTGAATATTGCAAGGAATTGCTAGTTGCGGAACTATGCATCTGTACATCGTATCTAGAAGTCAGGAGATCGCTGAGAGCTCGAGCTCGTCCACGCTCAGACACAAGAAGAGCTTCGTCGGCCTGCTTTGTCTCGATCAATACTTTCGTCAATAGCTTATACGTTGTATGGAAAGTTTCAACAAAAGATATCTTGGATTTGTCTTGTTCTTCAGAGTGCTTATAAAGTGAGTCCCAGCACTGTAGGCTGTTTTCCAGAAAGCTTCTAGATTCTTTCATACAATGGCAATAGTCCTCCTGGTTGCCTTTCTCTTTGTATGAATAACCCAATTCAAGATAGGCGTTACCAATGTGAGTATTCGCTATTCCCTCGTGGCGCTTGTCACCTATCTCTTCAGAAATGTGGAGCATCTTTTCATGATGCTTGATTGCTTCTTCGTAGTTGCCCAATGAGTGGTAGATATCTCCCATGCTCCCATAAGCTGTTCCTTCGTTGTGCTTGTCACCTGTTTCTACAGCAATCTCGAGGAGTTGTTTGATATACATAAATGCCTTTTCGTGCTTGCCGCATAATGTATATACGTCCCCTAAATTTCCATATGCACTTCCTTCAGTTTGCTTGTTACCAATCTCTTTGGCAATCGATAAACTTTGTTCGTAATCCTCGATCGCTTTCTCGTATCTGCCTAACGACTGGTTGACATAACCAATGTTTTGATGTGCAGCAGCGACATTGATTTTCTTCCTTATCTTTTGAGCAACCTCAAGGCTCTTTTCTAAATAGAACATAGATCTCTTGCTGTCGCCTAAGATTATGTAAATCTGTCCCAATCTTCTGTAAGCTGCTCCTTTGCCTTCGTTGTTGCCAATCTCGCAACTGCAGTTTAGGCTTGCTTCAAAGTAAGAAATAGCCTTCTTATAATTGCCTAAAGATTGATATATTTGCCCCAGCCAACCGTATGCCTCTCCTTCCCCTCTTTTGTTGCATGTTTCTTTGGAAATACTCAGTTCTTTGCTATGACATTCGAGGGCTTCCTTGTATTTTCCCAGGCTCCTAAAGTCTTTTCCCAAGTAGCTGTATGCTCTAGCTTCCCCATTTCTGTCACCAATCTTTATGGTAATTTCAAGGGCTTTGCTCTGGTATTCGATAGCCTTTTGGAATTGACTCAATGCACTGTAGGCATTCCCCAAACCGAGATATGCATTTGCCTCGGCATACTTGTCACCTAATTCTGTAGCAATGCTTAGCTGCTTTTCACGATACCCAATCGCTTCTTGGGGCCTACCTGAAGAAACCGAGATCGCTGCCAGACACCCATATGCAGAGGATTTGCTCTTCTTGTCATTGGTTTCTTTGGATATTTTAATACACTCTTCAGAGTATTCTATAGCCTCTTGATATTTTCCAGTAGAATGATAGACCGCTGACAAGTTTCCATAGCACTTTCCTACAACTTTCATATATCCTATCTCTTTTGCAACATGCAAAGAATGTTCGTAATTCTCGATGGCCTTCTCGTACTCGCCTAATGATTGAAGGGCATTTCCTATGTTCAAGCATGCTGTTGCTTCTCCTCTTTTGTTGCCTACGTCTTTTGAATTGCTCAAATGTTCTTCGTAATACTTCAAAGCTTCTTTCGCATCACCTAGTAACCAGTAGGAGTTTGCCAAATTGAATTGAGCAATTTCCTCACCGTACTTATAGCCTATCTTCTTGGCAACACACAAAGCCTTCTTGAAGTTACTAATGGCCTCTTTGTAATTACCCAGTGACTGGTAGGTATTCCCCAGGTATTGATACGACATTGCTTCGCCTTCCTTGTCACCAACCTCTATGGCTATTTCCTGTGCTTCTTCGTGGAACTGAATGGCTTTTTCGTATTCATTTAATGAACGATAAACATTTCCTAGATTTCCACACAAAATCCCCTGGTTTTTCTTTTCTCCTGTTTCTACGGCGATGTTTAGCGCTTTTTCCAGATATTTGATAGCTTCTTGGTATCGGCCTTGCGATCGATAGGCAATTCCCAAGTTTCCGTATGCGCTTGCTTGACCTTCCTTGTCACCTATCTCAAGTGCAATGTTCAGGCATTCTTCATGGCATTTAATTGCTGCTTCAGTGTCTTCAAGCGATTGGTTGGCATCTCCTAGATTTGCATATGCAGCTATTTGGCCCTTCTTGTCGTTCCTTTCTATAGCGATCTTAAGGGACTTTTCATGGTACTCCTTGCCCTCTTTGTATTTGCCAATTGACTTGAAGATAATTCCTAAGTTTGTGTACGCATCTGCAGCACTTTTCATGTTCTTTAGTTTTATAGCGAGGTCGAGCGATTTTTCATGATAATTAATGGCCTCCTTGTACATACTTAATGATTGATAGCAGATTCCCAATTTTTTACATAGATCTACTGCGCTGTTCATGTCCAATATCTGTGCGGCAATGTTTAAACCCTTTCCATAATATTCTATGGCCTTAGGCCAACGATACAAGGATTCATTCGTGAGACCAAGACAGATAAATAGCATAATCTGAAGACTAAAGTCTTCATAAACTTGAGCCATATGCAAACATTCAGTGTAAATATTAATAAGTCCTTCGGTTCTTACATTCAGGCAGCCGTAGGATGCACAGGAGCCACAAAACCGAAGAAAAATCTTTAGTTTTTCTAGTTCATCCTTGTTCTTAAAGGTATCCATATTTTCTTTAAAAAAAAAAAAAAGCATCATATCATCAGTCTGTGTTTATCTTGCTTTTTATAATTATCAGTGAAGCTCTGTAGTACAATGCAACAAAAATGGGGCCCTCCATCTTACTTTTAGAGCTATAAGCCAAAGCCAAATATTACAGCGCTTTTACCGATCGAAAGGCGTTATAGTCATGACGAGCTCTGAACAAAAACGTGGGGGGGTTGGGTGTTTATATGTGCACGGGACTTGTGGGGTACCTTTGGGTAGACATGCAGTAGTCGCAGTAGTACCATATAAACAAAAATTATATCAATATCGATGGGCTGCAAGCATCCCCAAGTGAGTCAAGAGACAAACACTTGGCGGCCATCTTGGTGCCGTTAACAATGGATGCTTAAGAGATATCTTTTGTTAAATGGCACTAACATGGTCAAGATGACGTAACGTGCAATAAAGAATATATTTAAAAAAACTTAGAATCAAAACCAAGTGGAGTAAAAGCTCTTGTCAGTAAACTGTTCACAGGAGGCATTTCAAATCATGAAATACAATCGATTTCCCCCAATCGATATTGCATACTTTAAAAAAGTTAATTCTGAATGTGAGCAAATAGGAATTGGGTAGTCACTCTCGCCAGTTGTCTAAAGCCTAGGGCAAACGTCGAACTTTCCATGCACCGAACTCATTAAAAACAATGGATATCAGGTGATAATGAGGCGGCATTCTTTGATGTAATTAAGTTCGGTGCATGGAAAGTTCGACGTTTGCCCTAGGCCTAAAATGCAGCAACTTGTTAAGTATACAGCAACTCGTTAATTATTTGCAGCATGGTTCCCGGCGTTTTATTGTGTATTGCGAATTGTATTTGTGTATTGCTTTTCTTGTGCGTATCTTTGATTTGCTCTTTTGGATTTTAATTTGTATTGGTATTTGGTTTTGTATTTATTAATTTTAATTTATTTTTGTATAAGCCAGTTTGTACGTRGTTTAAGAATCGTTTCCAGTGCGCATGCGATTTTGTCTCGAATTTCTCACCTTCTTTTGTGTAAACCTTCTTTTGTTATGAAATCACTTGCGCACTGGAAACTATTCTTAAACTACGAAATGTCTTATTGCGCCTCAGGGCCACCGTAATGCACGACCGTGAACACCTAGTAAAATGTTTGAAATGTTGATTATCTTGTTCTGACCAATCGCATGCTGTTACGCCACAAAATGTAATAACTCGCACAAAATGTAATAACAACGCAAAATGTAATAACTTTTGACGCAAAATGTAATAACTTCAATAACGCATTTTTAATATCCAGAAAATCAATATTTGCTCGGTATACGAACCATACCAGATGACTTTAACTTGAATTTCGCATGAACCGTTAAGATAAATATTCATGTTGAATACGCGATTTCAACGTGTGGATTTTACAAGGCAAGTCCACTCACTCCAACAGTAGTATATGTGTGGGAAAAATCAGCAACTCTTCATAAATATCACCAATATCAAGCCAACTCAGGATCAACATACTTCAATTATTTTAATAATTGAAGTATGTTAAAACTATGCTATTGAATCCCGACATGTCTCATG